ATTTAACTGTAATCGCAAACGTACGATGCGATTTATGATGTACGAGTCCGATCGAAGACGCGCACGTCGACGAGTGTAATTTTTTGTGTTACATCGAATAATTTATAAACGATATTTCTAAAGATATAAAATATTTATAACTCCTACGAGAAACGTGTTAATAGTTAAAGCCTAGAATTTCGAATGGAAGCAAACCAGTCTACAATATTCATTTTCTACTGTACGGATTTGATAAACGACTTTTCAGTTTTTTATACTGTACTTATATATAAGGGAAAAATGCCGCTATCTAAAAATCGACATATTTGTCAACGGAACTAATCGAGAGATGTTTTATCTGCGACATTTAAATACGTGTACGCGCATATACGAAAACGAAATTCCTGCTGATCGAACGTTTTTTAATCGACGCTGAACTGACTTTTTATTCATCGGACTGAAGCGAATTCAAAACGAAAGTAGATGTATGATAGTGTGGTCTTTGTACATTCGAAATAAATTAAACTATGTTGTTGAAGCTATACAATATTCTTGGCATACAAATTTATTATATTTAAAATATATATTTTATGTGATACGAAGGAGGATACGAGCAACCATTTAATCTTATCAATAGCTAGGTATTCAAAACGATCAACACAGAACCGAGGAAATAAAACGAATTAAAATACTTATTTATCGATTATTCAACTGTTATCACCGTGTAAAGAAGATATGTCTTAAATTGCACCAATTCTTCATAAAAAAAAAAACATTTATTATGATATTCTATATATTTCAAATATTTATCTTACCGAAATATTGTGTTACTTACATCTGGAACACAGGCAAAGTCGTGCGATACAGCTATGAAGATTTACGAAGCGCTCTTTGCTCTGTTTCGAACACCGAGCGCAGGACTGTGAGGGCTGGTCGGTGGTTTCATGGATTTGACAGCAACCATGGGTTTGTAGACCGGCATCGGCCTCGCCTTTGTCTCCATCATTCTCCGTATTTCCGCTATTTCCATCTTCTCCTGCAACAATCTATTTTTCTCCTCCTCAAACTTTTTCATCGCCATTTCCTGCTCCTTCTTTTTCAATTTCTCATCGAACTCTGTCCTGTTCTTCGCCCTCTTATCCGTCTTCAACTCGAACTTGGCAACCTTCAATTTATCAGTGTCTGCATTATTTTTTACTGCTTTATTATTTTGAAGCTTATTCGCACTCTTCGTTTCTGGTCTCTTATTTGCATTAATCATCACGTTAGGCTGCCTGTTTTCTTGATCGCTACAGCTCTTCGCTCTCTTCGCTGGTTCCTTCGTGTCCTTCTCCTTGTTTCGTAAATTCTCCTTGGACCATCCGTGCACGGTGACAGGCTTGAAGTTCGGCGTTGGATTCGCATGGAATACATAAGTCTTCGTCGCCTCGTCTTGCTTCTGCTTCACGAGCTCTTCCTTCTTCTTGGCCAAGTTCTTGTTCCGCTGTTCGAAACTGAACGGGCAAGTCGTGATCACCGGCTTCTTCTTCGTTTCCTTGACCGCGAACGGTAATCTCGCGAACTTCGGCGCAGGCCTCGCGTGGAACTCCGCTTTTATCTTGTTCATCTCCTGCAAGTTTTTCAACTTCTCTTCTTTCTTTGCCTGGAATTCCTTGTTACGAGCTTCGAAATTACATTTGGACGATTCCCCGGTCTCCTTTTTACGGTTGATGCTCGAAGCGCTGACGGAACGAACTATCGGAACTCCTTTCTTTTGCTGCTTCTCTTGCAGGCTCTTATGCAGAACCGCGTGCCGCGTTTTCTTCACAGAGAGATCGGTGCAGGCATTCGTCTTTTTTATATTCGACGCGCTGATCGAACGAGTGACAGAAACTCCGCCTTTCTTTATCTTCTCGTTAATCTCTTGCAGGGAAGTCTGCCGCGTTTTTCTATCAGACGAATTCGTGTTGCTGTTCTCCTTCTTTGCGATAACGTTTGAAGCGCTGGTGGAACGAACGACGGGAGCTTTCTGTTCCTTCTTATTATCCTGCGAATGCAAAGTGTGCCGAGTTTTCTTGCCAGGAGATTCCGTACAGATGTTCTCCTTCCTTATAATTACGTTTGAAGCGCTGGTGGAACGAGTGACGGTAGCTGAAGTTTTCGGATCCTTCTTGTTCTCTTGCACGGGCAAAGTGTGCCGAGTTTTCTTGCCAGGAGAATCCGTACAGATGTTCTCCTTCTTTGCAATTACGTTTGAAGCACTGGTAGAACGAGCGACGGGAGCTGAAGCTTTCTGTTCCTTCTTATTATCCTGCACGTTCACGTGCAGAACAGTGTGACGAGTTTTCTTACCAGGAGAATCTGTACAGATGTTCGCCTTCCTTAGAGTTACGTTAGAAGAACTGGTTGAACGTGTGATAGCATCGTCCTTCTGTTCTTTATTATTCGATTTCTCTTTAACGCTCGCATGCAAGGACTGTCGTGTTCTTTTAGAAATTGGTTCTGAATCATCTTTGTCTTCAACGACGTTCGTAGCGCTCATGGAATGAGTAACAGGCCCGGTGTTTCCTTGATCCTTGTCCTCGTTCGTCTTCTTCCTCGGCTGAGAGAAATGAAACTCCTCTGCAATCGTCGGTGGTTTTTTAGGCACCTTCTTTAAAACGGAAGGTCCTTTTAAAATGTTTACCGGTACTGGTTTCGCCTTGATCTGATTCTTCTTCAGCTCTTCTATCTGTTGTTTCTCTCGTTCCTCCTGGCTCAGTACAGTAGTCTGTCTGGTTCTCTTTTTGCACCTCAACGCTGGTGAAACTGGGAGAGTCAGCTTCATAGAAGAACGTTTTATTCTCATCAATGGGTTCGCCGGCTTGTTGCTGAGAGTACGGAATCTCTGAGGTGTTCCGTTCTGATATTTGGACACTGCCTCTGCGAGGCTGACGAATTTATTGGAACGTGTCGAGTTCAACAAACTTTTCCTGCGGTACTGACAAGTGAGCACTTTTGGCTGAGATCTACCAAACGAACGGCGCTTCTTCAAGTTATTGTCTGTCTTAGGTGCGGTTTTATCAGACAACTTCTCTTCTGGAATATCAGTCTCTGCTTGTTTCTTCCCTTGTAAATTATCCTTCTTCACATTTCTTGGCTGGATTTTTCTTGGCTCCATCAGTCGTTTTCTGATCCTTTCTGGTAACATAGGCTTGTTCTTATCTTCTGCTGTCGATACTTTGAACGTAGAAGTCAATTCTGTTATAGATACGCTCCAAGTCTGGTGAATCTTGTTGGATTTTTCGTTCAGCTTCAAGTTCCTCAATAGACTCTCTTTCCTCATATTCTCTTTTTTAGGGTCATGGGGTATAAAATATGCAGTATTTACAGGAGGCTTGTCCTCCAAACTGTCATCAAACTTCGTTTCATTGTTCGACTCGTCATGAACGTCTTTACTTGGAGTAGGAAAGTTATATTTTTTAATACATTTCATGTGTATTTGAGGCTCGTGTACCTCGTGCTCTTTTTCAAAATAGTCCTCGCAGAACATTTGAGGACTGTGCATAAAATCAGCCCATTGCGGAGCGCAACAGTTGTCCATCATTTTGCAAAAGTTTATGGTTTTAAGTTATGGTTTTAAAGAGAGCGATTACCCTGACGATTTAACGATGTTTAAACGCAGATCTACGAAAAGAAGATACGAGACGGTGATGAGGCAGTTGAAAAGTATGAACCGGTCACTTCGTCGTTCGATAGAATACGTACCTCTCGGAATATATAAGAGGCGATTTAACATTTGTGGATTGGATCCTATCCCTCTAAGCGTCTCGTTAATCCCATCGGGTTATTGGAACAGTTATCTACTATAAACGAAAGGTGGTTTGTTTAGAAACAGTACACCACCAAAACAGCGAACTCCTCGCGACTGGTCAAAGTATACGTTGACGGATTTGAGTTTGAAATTGTTTGAAATCTAGAGAAGTAAGTATATGCACTCTACGGAAATTAAATGATCCTGCTTACGAAGGTCGACACGTCCCAGTGACTTTCAGCTTTAGCGTCGGTAAATTCTCGAGTTTTACCATTTCACTCTCAGATGGCTCGTTCCACGGCTCGTCGAAGACCTTGCCGCGTGTTTAAATATTTCATTCTTGAGGAAGCGCATTTCTTACGATATTAAATGATATAAATTAGTACTTAGATTAAAGTCTAGACAGTATATGTAAATACTGCAGTTGAATTCTATCGACGTTCGGGAAATCAAAATATTAATATTATTTCTGGCACGATCTCCGGTAGTTTGGCAAGTGGTCGGCTCTGCATTGCAGAGACCCAACAATCGATTAAAGAAATAAATCATTCCCACTTCCCAAAATAAAATAACTCCTCTCCTAATCTTGCATTCTTTCTAAACATCCGTTACACGTTTTGTGTAACGCTCTTTGAAGTCTTGTACAAGGCCGTTTCTATTCATCCGCCAGAAACGCAGTTAGCAAAGTTTCTAATCATTCAATAAACTAAAAAGAATCGGCGAAGGTTATTTTAAGTGTTGGAAAAATGCGGCACGCGCAGAAGAAAAATAGGTGACCCGCGACATTCGTACAGATACTAGCTATCATTCCGTTTTGTAGAATTTATCAGTATCTCGTCTGGCGTACTCCAGAAGACATATTAATTATTCAGAGTATATTATATTTATGGAAATGTACACAAGTGAAGAGACAGTCACCACAGTCTCCTATTGTGAAATCTTATCTATACTTCTCAGAGAAGTTTTCCCGTCACGTGCTAGCCACGCTTAAGTTAAGGAATAAATATTTATCATAGGAAGTCGGATTAAGTCGCACGCGACGGATTCGATAAGGTGAAACAAGTAGACCTCTACTACTGCGTTCACAGTATGAAAACATATTATTTTACCTGCTTACCGAGCCGACGTCGACGTGTAAATCCCCGGTAGAATCGATACTCCTAAAAAAGTAAAAGTAGCAATTAATTTTCAGACTATAGAACGCGAGGGACATAAAAAAAAAATTATAAAGGTGCCGCGTGGAAGCGCCTTCTATCATCGGCATACGAAATTAAAGGAACGCAGATATGTCGTCGGACGTACTCGGTGAATTAATGCACCGCAGCAAACATGTAAATAAACTGTTGATTAGCTGACCAGTTTCGTGCGATGAATCGTACGAGGACCGCAATATGTGCGTAGCTGTATGTGCACGACCGTTTTACCGGGGATCCAAAGGTGGGTGGACAACACTCGCGGCCTTATATCCGCAACGATCGACGTTCTCGGGATTTAACAGACGGGAGGACGTATCCTCCCGTCGGCTACTCGAGTTCGCTCCAACGTGCGCAAATCTCACGCTTAGCACGCACTCGAAACGATCCCTGCGCCCGGTTTCCTGTTTCTTATCGAATCCGGGAGTGCCTCCGCCTATCTCTACCCGTAGCACCCGCGTCGTTCCCTCTGTTCTCTCTCATTGAAATGTTGACCTGACGTTTCTTGAATGATACCAAACGATATGGTAATGATATCGAGGGAATTCGGGGGACCGATACTGGGAGAGATGTTTCGGTAAGAAATGCATGATAGTCCAGCTTAGCGATAACACAAGGAGGCCGAGTACTATAGTTAAGGGTCATCAAACATTCCTAGTTAACTTGCTTCCCGGCGTGGTTTCAAATACTATTTGTATCAGCTTCTGCTACTTTCCAGATGAACGTTCCACTATATGGAATTATCGGAGTTGCGGCTGCTCTACTCATATATCTGGTTGGAATTGGATTGATCGTGAAACTGTTCATTTGTCTGTTAGCCTTAACTTTAGGGTACTTTCTTAATTTTCTCTCTGTCCGTCTCTCATTATTTCTCGATGGTGACTAACGGAGTCCATTGGTTACAGAACAATCACTTGTGTATATAGAATGTATGGTGCAAACCTCGACAATGTTGTTAATTCTGAAAGGGAAGACTTAAACAAGAAGACTGAAAAGTTACGGCAGGTAAAACTACACAGTGACCAACGTTCCAATCTGACGATCTAACGATGATTCTTGTTTCAGTATATCCTAGATCTGTCCAAGCAGAAGATGACCTTTACTTTAGATAGAAGAATCACTGGTAGCCGTATTATTGACGAGTCCCTGCAAGTACATAGTCGATTTAAGAATATTTCACTACCTTTTATCATAGCTCCCGATTCTATGCTAAGCAATTTGCCAATTCTCCTATGTAGGAAATATTAGATTTCGTTATCAGAGATTACGTGGAACCATGGTACAACGTTATTACGGACGACGAAGAGTTCATATATTCCGTTCGCGATACGGCCCAAAAAATCGCTATAAATATCGCGAACCGGTAAGTCGAACGATTAAAGCGTTCCGAAAATTACCTGTTCAACCATGATTTGCCTATCAGGGTAAAAGGGGTGGACTGGATTCCGTATTTGACTACTCGCTTGGTGGACGACGCAGCCTCCCACGTGAGGTTGTACCGGCAAGCGAGGGCGAGAATAAAGCAGCTACGATCGAAGAAATTGCAGAAAGGTAGCTCCAGTTCGAGCACCTCCGGCGGCACTCCGAAAAAGACGCCCACGCACAGGCGAAACAAGAGCGAAACGGATGTGTCCTGGTACTCCCAGTCGAAGTTCTTCGTCCCTAATCTCTCCTCGTTGACCGAGCCTATCGACAGTAACGATGAGAGGGAGGAGGAATCGTTGGAGAAGATATTCTTCGATCTGGAGGTGCAAATGGAGAACAATCTGATCTGCAGGGATGTGGTGTGCACCAACACCACCCAGGAGCTCGAATTCCTCGGGGAGATATCCGAGATTTTGTTGTATCTCGTGTTACCAAAGGGGGACTTCGACTGTCTGACTGTGAGATTTATTTTAAGGGAGTTGTTAGTGAACGTGATCATTAGGCCGTTGTTGGATCTGTTCTCTGACCCTGATTATATTAATCAGGCGTGTATATGGCTGGTAAGCAGAAATCGTCCTACGAAGCGTTTCAACGAATTCTGTATCTTATTCGTTCGTTGTTTCAGTGCGCTAAGGACGGTGGTTTACCCAGCGACGTGTTTTTAACGGTGATCCGAGTGACGGATAGCCTAGACGAGTTGACGGCGACGAAAAATATAGTTTGTAAAGAGATAGCTCATCTTCGTTCCAAGGATTCCGGTAGGGAAGACGATCTGTCGGTGAAACAACAATTAAACAGTTTGCTATACGTGAAGAAGATCTTAGAGACCAGGATCATCGGTATGCAAGAGGGTCTGGAGTCGGAGGCCGACGGGATCGGTGCTCAGCCCGAATGGAACCGGTTGCTCATTCCCGGCCAGAAGCTAGTGAACCTGCCCCTGGACGAATTATTAAAAAATAACATAGCGCTCAGTTATTTCATCGATTACATGACTTCCATAAACGCGGAATCGTACTTGTACTTTTATCTGAATATCTACGGTTGGAGAGTGTCTGCGGAGCAGCAGATATCGGACATAGAACTGCAGAAATTGCACGCGGCTCAGGCAGCTCCGATAATCGGTACCAAGCGCAAGAACCCCGACCTGGAGAACTTGAAAGAGGCAGCCGCGAAGATCTATCAGCAATACCTCAGCGACAAGGCGTCCCTGAAATTACAATTAGACGACGCTTTAGTGAAGACTCTGTTGACGAGGATAAAAACGGAACACGTGAAGGAAACGTGGTTCGACGACCTTCGTGCCTGCTGCTACGAGAAACTGCAGAGCGAAGATCGTTTCCTCCCAGGTTTCAAGAGATCCATGGCTTACGTGAGACTCCTCGCCGAGTTAGATCTGTTGAAAGATCCAACGTCCGAGGAGGACACTAAATCCTTGGACAGTATCAGTCTGTCGAGTACCAACAACGAATTGGAAACTCTGGACGAGATGTCCGAGATTTATAAAGCCGACGAGACAAGGCCTGCTGAGTTAAAGGGTAGCAAATTGAAATCTAGTTCGTCTACGAGTCTGGCCAGCATCGCGGAGCCTAACGAGAGCAAATCGGCCGACGAAGCCGACTCGGAAGTTAATACAAGGACGTTAAAAGGATTGAGGAAAGCTGCGAGCATCGACGCGGACAATATCAGCGAGGGGAAAGACGTTTCGTTTTATTTAGAGTCGAACGCGGATCAGTTTGTAAAGTTGGACGAGAACACGTACGATCAGAACGCGATAAAGAAGCTGCAGCAAGGGAAGTTCGAGATCACCGCCAAGATCATCGAGACCGGGATAGTAAACGATCGCGGGAAGACTTACGGAATTTACGCGGTCGCCGTGACTAAGAATTACGACACGGGCTATCAGGAGAAGTGGCACATTTACAGGAGGTACTCGGATTTCTACAACCTCTATCAGAAGATCAAGGAGAAGTATTATGATCTCGCGAAAATTCCGTTCCCAGCGAAGAAAGCGTTTCACAATATGGAGAGAACGGTGTTGGAGAGGAGAATGGTCATGCTGAACGGCTGGTTGTATCAATTGACTAGGCCGACCGTCGTCGACGGACACATGGGCTTGCAGAATTTGTTACTCAGTTTTTTGGAACAAGGAGACTACGACAAAGGCGTCACCGGAGGGCAGATATCGAAAACGGTAATTATCACCGACACACGACTACGTCCTTAAAAAGATATTTAACTCTCGGTTTAATACAGATAGACACTCTGATGAACCCGTTGAAAACGTCCATGAAAACGGTTACCCAAGCCGTGAAGACCATGCCAGACAATATGCTGAACACGGTCGACGGCGTGATGGACAACATAAGCAAATTCTTCGGTAATCCTAAGAAGCCCAACGCTTTTTACGAGAACACCAAAGTCGGCGCTGGTATAGACGTCGAGGTATTTAATCCGAGCACTAATTGGATTTAATTAGAACGATCTAATTGATTTGGATTTCAGACCGACGATAACATTCCTCTGCGGATTATGTTACTTCTGATGGACGAGATATTCGATCTGAAAGTGAGGAACCAGTGGCTCAGGCGGAGAATCGTCACGTTATTGAGGCAGATCATTCGGATGATGTTCGGGGACATAGTCAATCGAAGGATAGTCGAATACGTTTCACTGTTGACGAGTCCGGCCAGGGTAGCTGGCTACTTGAAACTGTTCAAGTAAATATCTCGCACTTCGTATCGTATCGTCAACGAATCGTCGTCGTTTAATCAATTGTACGATCGATAGGAACAGTTTCTGGCCGAACGGAGTGAAAGCGGAGAAGAAACCGCCGAGGGACGCGGAGATGAAGAACAGAACGAGGGTAGCAGCCAAGGTCGCTCTTCTATCCTGCCTTTCCGACGAGCTGAAACATATCATAGGTAGTGAAACAACTAGAAGAGGTCTTTTGAGGGTGTTCGAACTGTTCCAGCGGCCCGTGCTTAACAGGAGGCTTTTATACGTGCTCCTCGAGGGGATCATAGAGACCTTGTTCCCTCAGAACAACTTGATAGACGTTTTTCGGAAGCTGTACTCGACCTCGCCGAGGGTGCAGCATAGATACATGCAGAAATCTTAAGATTCGACAAGTTCTATTCTGTGTTCTTCGACCGTACTCAGCACCAAAGACCTAAACCAGTGGCGAGAACGATTTTTGACGGTCTCAAAGTTAGGAATTATTTATATAATTTAGACAGATTCTAAAATACTTAGGACGCGATCGAAGATGGAAGGTAACCGAATCACGTTGCAATAAATAACACGGGGAAAAGGGAACAAATCGAAAGTTCGTCGTACGAAAGCGCGAGGCTCTACAGAATTCGCAATCTCGATTTCTATTCAATATTATTGTATATTCGAATTACAGTAAGCGCAGTAATCCAGTGGCCAAATATAATTCTAATAAACGATTTACACGAAGCAATTCGAGCACTTTTAATCGGGTTTAATAATCGCCGATTTATATATAAATATATATATATATATATACGTATGTATATGTTTAAAAGTAGGTCGCGCAAACGTTTCACGGATCACTCTTCGACTTTACCTCGTAGAGGCGTTGCCTATATTTAAGCATTCCAGTTTGCATTTCAACTGATGTACTTCACGAACGAGCGAACACTTTTTACACGTGTATTAAAACTATAGATGACCAATTCTACTGTCTAGCAATTATGCAAATGCGGGGGTCTGTATACATACTTAATTCGCCAAAAGGAACGCAAGATTTTCAATGTGTCGTGCCATTTCACACGCGTATTACACTTACGTAGCGAACAGTATATTTATTTAGTTGAAAAATCGTTTGGGGATTCTCTTCGAAAAGAGTGCAGCTATAGGTTTCTGTTATTAATTAATTTATCTAATTCCTCTGTCGTTGGTTAACGGCGGTGTAAAATCGTTGTAAATGTCGTACAATTGTACATATTACATTAATGTTATTTCTATCGTGTTGGAGCGCCATATCTGTCATCGTTTACTTATTATTAAAGAAATTGTTTATAAAACTGTTGTCTTTCGTTTTCTTTCACCCGACGTACGAGCGAGATTCGTGCCGGAAGTTAGGTCAACCGAGGAGGAAAGTCTTGACAAAGAGAACCAGTAAATTACCCCCGAATCGATTAATCGTGCTAAATAATAGCAGTGGTACTCGCGACGAGAGAACGGAGTGAGCAAAAACAAAGAAACTTTATTACCGGGGGCCTGCTGCTACCAGATTAGGGGGAGTACATTAGCAGAAAGAGAAGGGGTACAAGAGCATCGTCTCATCGTTGTTCGCGTCATACGGGGACATTTTGCTCGGGTAAAAAAAAAAGGAGAGAGAGAGAGAGAGAGAGGGGGGATCCTTTCTGAGGGCTTTCAACGTTCGAGGAAGGGGGTCCAGACCGGACCATTTTAGTCCCTTCCAGACTTCTTTTCTTCATTCACTTCCTTCCTCGGACTTCCCTCTCTGACATTCCCAAAAATAACTCGACGCGAGTTGCATTTTCCATTAACAGCGATACCCTCCCTTCTTCGATATCCTTCGTTTGTACGAAAGGTAAGAGATTTAATAAATTATCGGCGACGCAGACGAACGATTCGTGACTCGTTTGGTTCTACGACTTCCGCGGTTCAGAGAACCGGAGGAACAGCCTCTGAAACCCTGCGAGGAACTGGACTCGACGATCCGAGCACTCGTTTCCTGGTCTCTGCTCATTGTGGGTAAAAGAATCGCGCTGGGCGCGCGTTTTCAGAAGGGGTTCCATTCGGCCCCCGGGCTCGGGGTCTCTCCCTCCGCGCGAGAAGAGGGGAATACGTGTATCGTCAGGGGCGTAGAGCTACCGAACGACGTGGTACTGCGTACGTAACGAAAGAAAATCGATATGCATGATTCACGCACGCGAGAGAGGACGCCTCGAAGGGGGTTACGAGGCGGGAGGGGGCACACGGGGTGGGTATAGTACGCACCGGTGAAAGGCCTGAACGAGAAGAGAGGGAGACGGGGGAGCCACTCTTCTCCCTTCGTGCTCCCTTTTTGCCCGTACGCGAAACACCAAAGGGGACGGAGAGGAGAGCTGTATGCGCGATCAACACACGTAATTCTATACAAGCGCACGAGGAGGGGTATTCTTACAATGCTACCCCCTCGGTCACTCGATCAGTCGTGTCCAGAGTCCCATGTTCGTTACGAACCTTCGTGTTCGCCGCTTCTGTCCTCACGCGTGTCTCGAAAACATTCCGTTTCCGCTTTTTTTTTTCTACAGTCTTCGTCCTGCTCGCGCCGTTACCGTTTCCGGGTTCCTCGGGGGGGTCACCCAGTCCCCGAGAACGCGTCGGCGTCGGGGGATGCGTCCAGTGCGCGATCGCCGAAAGTCCCGCGTTCCTAGTTCGATTTTAATAACTGGATCCCGATCACGTCAAGTGCCGTGTTTCTTTGGTGTTTATTCTAGTGGCGGACAGCTACTTTCCCTCAATAGACGTCACCAGCATCCAATGGGATATTCTTAATTTCTGCATCAGGTAAATTCAGGCTGCTGAAATTAAATTTTGTACTTCATTGAATATCAACGAATAACACTGATAATTCTAGAGCATTTGGGACGTTCTCTTTCTGGAGAATCATTGAACTTTATCTGGCATCTTTGAGATCACGATACTTCCAAGAGTTTGGTAGATTTTCATTGGCGTCGGGGGTGGCTCGGGGATTTCGATGCTGGCAATGAGAGGTGTCGACACGCGCCTAAAACCGCGGAATCAACGCCGCTTCCCACGACCCGCTAATTACTATCATTCATCGGTTAATTACTTTCACCTCTACCTGTTGCTACGTCCATTCAATCCTTTCTTCCGTAATAATTTCCTCTCGCTCGCCGCAGAAAAGTGCTTCTCCACTGAAAAGAGAAAAGAATTCCGTCCCGCAGCAGGAAGCAGTTGCGGACGGATTTAAAAATAAGTTTCTGGTGGAAATTACGTGCATCCGGCTGGCGTCGATTTTTTCTCAGTTAATTCGCGCCATCGACACCCGGTCGACGCGTAATGCAAGAGAATAAAACGAGAAAACTTAGCCGGGCTGCGGTCAGCTGGCTCTGGTTCCGAAACAAGATACGCCTGGGACTTAAAATAAACAAACAGTAATATGCCGCGGACCGATAGAAAAGCAGCTCTATCGCGTCGAATAACGAATAGAGCCAGTCGAGAACCGAAGATATTGATAATTACGAGAACAGCAGCGAACATTTTTGATACGAGGTTCGATCGAGGGCGAGATAGGAATTTGGATCGATATCTCCGCTTTTTTTTATGGGGTAGGGGGAACATCTGCGAGGGGTGGCTTGGTCCACCATAGAACAATCCTCGCCGACATTCATCAGGATTCGAAAACACTCATTACAACAATGGATCACAGGCCTTAATAAAAATTATTCAATTAAACAGAAACGTGAAATCACCGAATCTAAGATGCAATTTTTAATCATTTCCATAGAATTTGCGTTTATTCTTTGTTTTCAACGCGATGGATTGAGGATTCAGCTAGGAGCTTCTAGTTTGGAACGGCAGGAGACATTCCGGAAGGCATTTAATTCGCTCGTAATCCTCCCCCCATTTCAAAATGATATACGAGAGAAATTATAGCATCCACCAAGGGTGGATCAGAAAGTCGAGGCTGGGGATGGTTACCGAGGGGAGGGGCAACCTCCGCGGGACAGTCGTAGAAACACCTGCGCGCACGGGTAATAGTTTTCACGAGCATCTGCTCGCGGTCTACTGGCCTATTTCCAGCTGCTTCGACCCCTGACGCTGATCAATTCAAAATTGCCGAAAACCACGTTTTCTCCATGTTCTCAGATACCGCGCTATCGAAATTATCGAGAAACATCTGTCGACCGAACGTCGACGGACAGTAAAATTAATCGACTCTGTCGAAACCAACACCGATAGAAGCCTTTCAACGGCCGGAGGACGGCTCTGAATGATCGTTAGACAAATGGAGAAACAGTGCTGAGACGTGCGACTTTCGCGTATCAGTATCTTTTAAAGGGGCTGCAAACATGATACGCGGACGGATTAGCTTACTCCGCGTCCAAAGAGACACGCAGACCGCGCTGGTTTATCCTAGTTCTTCGCGGCCCGAAGGTCGTCGCACTTCAGATACCGCGGCGGCGTTTCTTTGAAAAAAAGGGATCGTGAAAAACCAGATCGAGTTTCTGCGATTCCAGGGACGCTGTTTCTCCGTTGCAGAAATTCAACTCTCCCGACAGTCATTGTTCCCATTTTTTTTACCATAGATCTGAGCGAACCGAGGAAAACTCGTCCGATTTTTAAACGCGGAGGATCGAGTACTGGCTAGGACCTATCCCAAACTTGAAATTCTACACTGACGTTTAAGGACGCGCGGCTGATTAATAGCAGTTAGAACGTACGGTTCGTTCGGTTTCAGTGGAAGAGAGTCGTCTCGCGGCGGAGACAGGCGAGTATCTCGTTGACAGGAAGAGGGACAAGGCGGAGAGAGCGTGCATAGGTGGTCGCAATTTGCACCTAGGAGCACAGAGAGCACCGATATCTAGTATCCCGTCGTATTATTACGCTCGAGGGCGTTCGTAAGGGGGAACCGAGAGGTCCAGGGATGGCCGCGGCGGGTAGGTGTAGGCTTACTTTGGACTCTGGTGTGGGATTACCGTACTTATATTCAAGTCTAATATTAAGTTACCATTTTGCTTTACGGCAAGTGAACAGGCTGCCTGCATATAGGAAGCCATCCGAGCGCTCCTGGGACAGTCTGGGTTAGGTCTCGGGGCCCACCTTAGACACGTAAAGCCTCTCTTCCTTCTTCCCGGGCCCGGCGTCTTCCAGAATAAAAAAAAAAAAAGAAGAACGACTTCCTCCGATTCGTGTCTCCGAAGCTGCGGAATCGTTAGTCATGGAGAGTTTCTCCGAGGCCGGAGTCGTGTAAGTCGGTCGACGGTTTCGGTAAAAGTGATCTTTCCACCGGAAGACGAAAACGGGATTTTTCCAAGTGTTCGAACTCGGAAGTGCGCGGATCTTCTCGTCGAGGGAACGACGCAATTTCACGGTGCGATCTTCTTATGTTCAAATGGGCGACGCGGCTTTACGGTGAGAAAGACGTGTTAACAGGACCGTGGAACGGAACGAACGAGCCGATAAGAAGGCAGAGGTACTGACTTCTGTGCGTGCTGGGGTTTGCGTCAGTCCTCCTAGCACCATTTGAAATCAGTACTACTCTTCTTAGCAATCTTCGAAGTCCGCGGGAGAAGATCCGGAGGACTGGAAGAACACTCTCTTCGAATGACGGTATTAAAAAACTTCTTCTTCTTCTCTATGCATCTCTTCATTCTTTCCTCCTTTCTCCTCTTCGCCTCGATACAGTATGCATGTATGTATAATAGTTACACAAGGTGAACACGTGTTACAAGTTTTGTGCAACGACCGGTTCGCAATTTATACGGTTTCGCGCTTATCCGTCGACGTCTCTCTCTCTCTCTCTCTCTCTCTCACTCGCGCACTCTTTCACTCTCGGGTTTATATGTACAACGTATTATATATATATACATATACATATTATATAAACAAGCGAATAATTAATCACGTACGTCGCTTCGTTATACTTCTCACTCCGTTCGCCGCGGCAATTTTTGTTCCTCCCATCCCGTCGTCGATTATCCATCTCGTTATCGTAATCTTTAGTCTGGTTGCAGCGGCGCGAAGGGATCGATCCGAGCGTATCTATAGAATTATTTAGCGAGGCAGTATGGAACATCGTATAATAAATAAAGTTGGCCCTCCCGGACAGCGATGATGGCATGATAAAAGAATACGCGTCTATGTACAGAGAATGTAATCTCGAGTACGTTTCATTCTTCGTCATGATTAAAGGACACTTCGGTACTCTTTCATTCCTGCTTCCTACCCGAGCCCAGGCGGCAATCATGATAATGATAATAATAATAATAATAATAATAATAACATAATAATAATAATAATAATAATAATAATAATAATAATAATAATAACGTTAATAGTAGAGAGTTCATCGGTTGCTTCCAACCATTTTCCACCCACGAATTAATTATCTCACATTAATTTCTAGATTAAGCGCGGAGGATTTCCCCGGTCGAGTTGCCCCGGCAGTTAGGACGAGTCATTGCTCCTGCCGGTCGCCTTCAGCCTCGTCCACGTCTCGCCCAGAGCTTTCGCGAAATGATCGTCCACTGAGGATATCAACAAACGTTTAAAGACCTGAATTTTAATTTTCAACATTGAAGGTTCTTAAGAGAATCTACCGCTGAGCCCGGCCTCCTTGTCGCTGGTGTTGGCGTTAAAGACGGCCGCGTACTCCTCGAGACCCAAGGATCGTTTGAAATGTTCGTCGATCGCGGGATCGCTCACCCCACCCACGGTCCTGATCCCGGTTCTCTGGCCACCGACCGCTGCCGACGGCGTCAGCGACGGAGTAGGCGTCACCGCCGTGTCTTCGATCGTCGTCCCTGGTAACATCAATCTTCTCGTCATTCGTCATAAAAGTACAACGCTGCGTTTTGTTAGTCTCGACGTGTCCATGCGAAAAGCGTGCAAGCGTGCGGATCCAGCGTTTCGGTTTTATAAAAAATGGTGAATATTGTTTGGCTCTTTTTTTTTTTTTGTTCAGGGTCGCGGGAAATTCTCCGTGCGTGTTCCTCTATTGAACGAGGCAAGCATCTGCGCGACGTGCATCACGCTGCATTGTCACAGCACACACCCCAAGCGTCGGGACAATGGCACACATGTGCCCCCCGCGAGGCCAAGAAGAACGGGCAGCCCCGCAGACACTCTAACGAACCCGTGCGGATGTGCTTACCGGGTTGCGGCGTGGTCGGAACGATCACGCTGGGCCTGGTGTGATGGTGGTGATGCACCCGCGTCGCCGTCATGTCCAGTGCCTCGCTCTGAATCGGGTCCCTCCTACGCTCCTTCCGCCACGCGCTGCTCGGCTTCCGGTGCAGATTCGACGCTTTCGGTCTCTCCTCTGTTCAATTAAATAACCATTTCCCAAATCTCATTCGTTTACAAGAAGATCTTAAATATCGTTGCGTTTTTAATTCGCCCAGGCAGTCGCGGAACGAGCGTCGAATTCTTGAGTGTAATTAAAGCAGAGGTCCTACCGATTTATCGTACATAGACACCCTAAGGCCCACCCCTAATTCTCGTCTCGCATGATTGACGAACCCGGAGAAGAAACGCTAGGTCCGGGTTTCGAATCCTTTGAACCACCACGTTCGTAGGCTAATAAAGACTGAAGAGAGGATCTATCCTTGAGCTTGTTGTCTCAATTTATTTATAAAACATCACGGGTCAAGTATTTCCGTCCCCGCGGATGTCTATCATCGGAAATCGATTGAGCAACCCTTGCGAACGATCGAGAGAACGAACAGGCATCGAGAAATGAAAGAGGGAGGGACGAGTCCGGTTCCCAGGACGAGGCAGGAAGTGCCTAATAGCCGTGAGAGGATCGCCAGGAAGACCAAACTGGTTTAAAACCGAAGGATGAGCCAACGGCCAAAGATGAATGGACCGAACGCGTGCGTTGTTCCGTTCAATTAACTCCCTGGCTCCTGACGTACTTTCCTCGGATTTCACTGATTTATAGTTAGCCAGGGCAGAGTAGTAGAAACAGAGTACAGATTCGATCGGGAATCATCGATTCAATGGTGTTAAGAAATAATTCTACGGAATGGCCAAGTGAATCACCTAAGTACACCTGATTCTCACTTTGAACATCGAAGAACCTGCTGATAACAGAAATAATTCCTGATACCGCGACGGACGAACTTCTGAAACCTTCGCTGGTCGAACCAGAACGTACCTCCAAGCTTGTACACTGGCCGAAAGTTGTCTGTGGTGAGCCACGGCTGCCAGAGGCACCTCCTCCTCGTCGATACCTCCATGTTCTCCAAAATCGTTGGAAATCATGAACCGATATCAGGAAAAATGACACGGGACTATTGTCTCTCGTTTGCAGAAGTTCAAGGACAACGGTGCACCGACCACCGACTGGTTCCCATGAAATATCGTACACAGAAAGATGCACTCGCACTCGAGATCAAAGTTCCGAGCTATGGAACGTCATTTCCACGGGAGGATCTTCCGCTCGCCGAAGAAAGCGGCTTCCATGATGTCCTGGTGGCCTCGAGGAGCTCGAAGAAAGCGGCGCGACGCGGTCTATCGAGCACTTGGACTGGACTTTGGCGCCGGGATCATCGGCGTTCGATCTAAACTCGGGGATCGCCAGCGTCGTCGTTGAAATTGGAACGGTTTCGTGGACACGGGAACCGCTTTCGGACGCTGGACACCGAGGTTTCTCGAAGGCTAGACAGAGTCAGACGATATCTACGTGGATTCGTGAATGCCCCTCTTACACGACTGTCTTAAGATTCATTCATTCATCCGCCTCGTCCCGTCGTCTACCCCCTCCAACTCGAGGAGAACTCGCCTTTTACACATGCACACGCGTGGATCCAGCGGTGGCTACGTGTTCACGCAGAGCTCGATGCACCCGAAACGTTCTTACAACTGCATCATCGTTTCGTCGAAAATAAAACATCTAGAAAATCGAATATGAATAAGAATTTTGTCTCACGTCTGGGGAACATCATTGGCCATTCATTACAGATTTTTTCCTATGAATCCATTAAATTCGCAGACTGATTCGTCGTAAAGTCCTGATCAATGCCTCTATTTTTTTAATTGCTCTGAGGACCAGCTCGAGGCTGTCGCTACTGAAAGGAATCGGTGAAGAAACGAGCAGCACTTCTGCTCGCTCTCCTCTTTCCTTCCTCTTCCTCTTTCCCTTTTTTTCCCGTGGCGCAGGTACGCGATCGATGGATGCACATGTGCGTCCGCCGCACGTGCACTACGCGTCACGTTCGCGAGAAAAATTCGCTCGATAAAGATCGTTCCACAAAATATTCGATACCCGGCGTTCCAAGAATTTTGACACACCGTGAAACAATTTCCGAGTATCGTCGATTAAAATTTATGGCATTTCTGGCGAGAGTCGAACTTCGAAGAACAGGAGTGGTGTTTGCGGTACGATTCTAAGTAGGCTCAAGGATTTTAAGTACTCAAACAGAGATTCCAGAAAATCCTCGTCGTTACTGTTTTTAGAGAACAAGGCCTGGTCGCCAGTCTGATTCACTCGGAGGCTAAAAAATGTAGCGAAGGTTAACGACCTTGAAACGTATCGATCTCGGGTGTACTATTGTCAGCTGCGTGATTCCTAAGCAAGATCAAGGTGGTTATCCTCGAGAAATCGTGAGGCATCGGGCTGGAATGCGAGGCATTTTAATAGCAACGCGACCAGGTAATCGCGCATGGTTATCAGACGTCCGCTAACCAGCGAGTCGCGGCTTCGTGGGTGTGAATTCGTCGGATGCTTCGGCACGTTTCGAACCGAGGTCCCTTCGAACGGTGCCTCCCATCGATAATCCGTATTAACTTGGTCGTCGACGACTGGAACGGGTCGAAGAACAGAGTATCCATCAGCGCCGGTTTAAACTACAATTTGACATTACGATCAGGTTGATAACTATCGCTCGCCGAGCCGGTGAACGTATTTTTGGCCGGAGAAACTCACAGAACGCGCCATCGGCCGCGTGCACGCGCAACTGCGCTCGGTATTCGGAACAGGTTCGAGCCACGAGCATTCCATCACAGCAACAAACCACACAGTCGCGGAGCGGCTACTATAGCGAACGAGAGCTCGCTCGTTACGCTACGCCGTCCGATACCAGCTCGATGATTTATGAAAATCATCGCGTCGTCATGCTCCCGATTGCCCTCGAAAGTGGAACCCTCTCTCTAATGCGTCACACTTTACTGCCGCATTTTTCCTCACCATTTACATCCATCGTTCGAGTCAATTCTCTTATAAGTAAAAATACGCCGAGACGATTTTCATCGACCGTTTTCCCGATCTCTAAAAAAATGTTTCAATGCCGACGTAGCAGCAGCGAGAAAATGGAAAGTTTACGAGAAGAGAGTTTATCTGTCTTATCGATTCTTCGTGAGTCGATTCCCGATAAGGGACTGCGACTTCCTGTACGACGGAACGCCGACAGACCTTCCGCAAATAAGGAGGAGCTCGGGCCGCATTCCTCGTGAATGAACCTACCGAAATAAGGCGAGATCGTGACAGAACGATTCAACCAGTCCGGCGTCAAGAGACTATTGTTTACGGTCGATTACACGCGCGTCGCGTTGCGAAAATGACACACTTCGCCGTGAGAAGCGTTTCGAGGAATACAAAAGGGTATCTTTCTAAATAAGAGTACGTGTCCAGAATGGAGCGACGCGGGTTTAATTGAAATTAATGCCGGGGCTCACTTGCCAGCGAGAGTAGCCCGCGAACGCGGCGAAACTAAAATAAACGGCGCACAATGTTATCTAATTCGACGCGAAATTGGCATTTCGCAGGAATGCGAGGAGAGCTCCTCGCCGGCTCTTATATAAATCCCTCGGATTCCATCGATCGGCTCGTCAAACCCCCCCCCCCGCCGATTAATCCTCTTTACCGGTGAACAGTCCCTTCCATTGAATTCCCTGAGACGTCGAAAGAACCCACACGTCCTGCACGAGAATCAGGATGACCTTAGATCTCAATTGGAGAGCGGGTGCTACGAAACGGACGCGAGACCGTGCCGACAATTGGATCGGATCGCGCTAACTGGAGTACCTCTGGCAAAACATCGTGCATGAAAACAAAATATGTAACGCGACCGCGGCGTAATCTTTGAACCGCGCGTAAACGGTACGCTATCTGAAAACTGTTTTCAACCAACTCCGCCGTAGTTTCGCGTGGTCGTCGTGCCTTGGCTACCAGCGACGGTGACAAAGAATGCGAGTCGGCGAGTAAGTCACGAGGCAAACTGACCTTGCACCATGGTGGCCGCCCTGGAGAGGACATCCAAGGCGCTTTCGACTGCGGACATCTCCTCTTCCCGTCTCTATCCTTCCTAATCCTCGATTCCGCCGATGTACTCTTTGAGGTAAACAACGAACTTCACTCTCGAAGACGCGTAGCACGCACCTCCAGGTGTTCGAAATCGCCCGCGAATCGGTTCCCCCGTGAATCCTTCAGCTCTGCGGACAAAAGTCGGGAGCTAACTGTTTGGGGGCCTTCCTCGCGGCCGATGCCAGGCGCAAATAAAGTAAAACGGGGATTAAAAAACGTGACATTGTCTGTGGAATGCGGACCCCTCACCAGAGGCCCGCACCGCGTCCCCCGTCCTCGCCACGCCGCCGCCGCCGCCGCCGCTTCGCGAGCGAGTCCCCACGCGTACCCAGCTTGATCCCACTCCACCCACCGTTAACGCCAGCGGCGGCCTCGAGCTCCTCTCAATCCAATTTCAACGATTACCCATTCGTATCATCGGACATGGAAAGGAAGTCCCTCGGGGATATAGGTCGATTTTTATGTAATCGACTCGTACGGCGATTCAAACGATTTGCATGCGAGGCGACGCGTTCGTCTCTAGCGCGAGCCACTCGGAGCAGCCACGGTTCGTCGGAATCTCGTGTAAGGATTTTAGTGATACTCGAGGCCGTCGCTGACCGTAATGTTCCTCTTCTTGCACCCGTATCGCGCCCCCTGCTCTCTTTCCAAACTTCCACGCAACCGGCGTCGCAATTTCATTCCTAACGACATAAACAATGACTCCTAAACAGTCCGAGAATCATCCCACGGATTTCCGCTTATCCCGTTCGAAAGAAAATCGAAATTGTTCCCCGTCTCCCGTAAATTGTACCGGCGAACTCGTGACACGATCGATATATAAGAAAATTCTTTGACTCTAATTGAAATAGAACGTAACGATCTCGTAATTTGGATCGAATTCCTCTACCCCCACTTCTCTCGTACTCTCCCGAGGTTTTCCTCGGCTCTCCCCGATAAAATTCGATTCCCCGATTGTTTCACGATGATCCCACTCCCGGTTTTGAAACCCTCCACGATCTAATCGCCGGAGTAATTTTATTCGACGCGATTCGTCGACGAAACCCCGAACGGAGTTCCAGCAACGGGGACGATTATAAAATTTCGCGACGGTAACGATGAAAGGAACGAAGATTTTTAGTGGAATCGGTAACGATTAGGAATTCTCACCGACGAAACGGAGGAAGGAGGCCCCTTCCTTCGGCGTGCGGCCGGGAGAGCCCAGGAATCGATAGAGGAATGCGGCGTAGCGTGAAGACAAAAAAAAGGAAGGAACGAGCCACGCATTCCTCAAGGTAAATCGAAGTTAAGGTGGTGGTTCTTTTTATGCTTTACTCACGATTGATCTCGCGATGACAGGCCGGCGAATGCTGTATCAAACGTCCGGCGGGACGTCCGCTGGCACGTCGGACCGAACCGCGACACGTATTTTCATTGAAAACGACGGAAAATCTAATGGTATGCGGGGCCGGACGCACACGGGCTCCGTTTGACACACGAGAGCCAGCCTCGACTTCCCCACGTCCCCACTACTTAAACATTACGATGGAATGCCCGGCATCTCGAGCGTCGCGGCGCCTTCTATCGACAAAATCGCCAACCTCGGCACGCGCGCGGATCAAACCTCGTCCGGATACGATTTTTACTTTTTTACCGCAAAATCAAATCCCATTTCTCAGAAACGCCGCTCCGACTCCCACAACAATTAATTACAAACATCTCGTGTACTCTCGGCGCGGGAATATTAGAAATAGGGATTTCAGATTCGAATCGAATCTGTAAAGGAACGAGAATCGTCTTTTAATTACGTCTCTTCGATGAATGAGAAAAGAGGGATGATAGTAGTTACCCAGGAATTTTCAGGAGTTCGAATATTTATTTCAACCAAGCGTGTTTCAACGACTCCATATAAAATCTCCATACGAAAGTTAAATCACGATGCCAAGAGGTACTCCGACGCAACGATTAAAAAAAAGTATGATCGATGCATTCGACGATGCTTCCATTCAGTTTTCAATTCGTTTCGCGTAAAATTGTTAGACCGCGGTGCGAGAAACGTGTCCGTCCGAGAGAAAAATGTGCACGTTCAAGGTATCACATTTTCCTGATCGTCCTCGTCGTCGTCGCTCATACCGTCCAACGCGTAGCAAAGCTGCGATTAGAAATACGATGAAAAATTGGCACGACTCTACGTCGACACAGAGATTCGGTTGATGTACCTCGTCTAAATCTGGCCTTTTAAGCAACTCCTCCAAACCCGACAACTTTTCCAAGTAATTCGGGGTGTTGCACGCGTCCAAAACGAAGTCCAAACCCCGACTTTTGTACTCGCTGATCACAGCTACGGAACAGGCCGTGCAAGACGTGAACCTATGCGTGATCGTCAATTGCGTATCGTAATTCCACAGGGATCCCCTTATCGTGTGCGGCACGCATCCCAGAAGGCCTACCAATTCCGTATCGTTCGGACCGACGTTGTCTCTACTGTTACCCACTATCGCTTCCGCCTCGACTCTGTTCCAACAAAACAATTCATTTTCCACGAATCATTCCCCAGTTCAATTTGCCTGACTTTGTTTTTTACCCTTTCGGGTGTTGCAACAATGCTATCAGCAACTCCACCGCGAGTCCTGCGGCGATCTGCGATAATCCCGGCCTGCTCACTGTACATTGCTGATCCAAAGTTCTATCGGTCTGCGACTGTAAGATAAAATCTGATATGCTACGCCTGTCGGGACAATCTGTTTTCTCTTCGCTTACGTTTCCGGGCTGCGTCACGTCGTTGCAAAAGTAGCAACCTAAGTCCCTGCCGCAGGGATTCCTGGATTCCAAGTCCGGGGAAATCGCGGCGGTGACGTCCCGAGTGCCGTGTCTCTGCACGGTGTACGAATCGAATCCCAAAGCCGCGTTGATCGCGATTTTATTCTTAGCAGCGCACAGGACCGTAGGCAGCCATCTGGCCTCGCGAGAATCCAGCAACAAGAACACTACGTCGCTCTTCTCTACCAGCTCCTCTAATTTTTCTAACGCCTGCTTCGTAGACTCCATCAGGCTCTCGCTCACCACGTGCCCGGGCATCGGAACGTGTAAAACTACACCTTCCGCGTTCTGTGCCATTAGTACGATTAATGTGACGAAGCTTCTTTCGATTCTTTGATACTCACGATGCTCGGTCGAATGTTTATTAAAGCGTCTCTCGCGGCATAAGCTTTGTGCTTGTGTTTCACGGCGTCCTGGTGACTGTACAAACTCTGTCGCACAGTGTTGCTGTGCGACACGTTCGCACTGTCGACGAACGTGACGTTGTTCACGCCCCAGCCTAAGAGAACCCTTGCCACCGAACAACCCAGGGTTCCAGCCCCTAACAGAAGACACCTGAGATTGCTGATCTTGTCTAGATCTAAATCGGGCACCAGGCGCCACTTCATCAACTTCAGATTCAGGTTTATGGCTCTGTCCGACAATCTAACGAAACGATATGCGTTTAATTACATTGTATCTACTCGGTGGTCGAGTTTTTTTTATCTTTTAATTACTTGGTCGGATCCATCGTATCGGAGAGGTCTGCTATGGTTGGACCTAATTTATCATTCGCGTTGTTCTCCCAGCCGACCAGCGGACCGCAGAACAGAGACTCCCTCACGTCCTTTCCATGCCCGTATTCTTTGGTCTTCAGTTTGAACACGAGACTCCTCTGCGCTTTGTTCCCTCGTACCGCGACGAGTTTAATCGTTCTCGAGAAGAAATACGTGGGACAGTGCCAGCACAATAAGCACAGGAGATTTCGTAGAGGCCATCCGGGCTTGGAACCCGTGCAGGGGTCGTAAAAAGCGAAATAAATTTCATTGTACTCCTACAAAAATAGTCAAGTTCGATATTGGTGTTAATTTCAAGTCCATTTCTTTAATACCTCTAATCGCTTCTCGCTACTATTGATTTCCACACCTACTGCCAGTTCGACAATGCTCAGTTTACCATCCTTGGATAATAAAACTGTGAAGTAATTCTTTGTCTTGCTGTGCAATTGTAAAAACGTTTTGGAAAATTGTTCCACGTGTTCCTCCGTGAATTCCTCGTCGATCGACCTCGGTGGTTCTTGATCGTACATTTCTGGCAAACGAAAAGGTGTGGGATGCGCGACCCAGTAATAGAATTTATACTTCTTCAGGTCTGAATAAGCTAATACTATGAACAGGGACAGCCTCCATGGGCTTTTCAATATAGTCCCATCTTGTATTTCGGTGAGAACGTTCCTTCCCATGCGTTCAATGAACTTATCAGGATTGGTTTGCTTGAACGCTTCCATGGTGTTCGTGTTGATCATGTGTCCAAAGCAGACAACAGACGAGTTGTTGTTCAGCGTCTCCGAGTCTCTAAAATTAATTTAAATAAAGTCAACTCTGACCGACGGATTCATTTCCATTGCAAACACGGACTTACTCATTGAACGAAGTGAAATCCAACACCAAAGGATTGGTGTTGTCTTCGTTTAACGATTGCAGACTGTAACTTCCCCATAGATTGATCACCGTCTTCTCGTCTAGCTTAAATTTGTCTATCTTCAACTCGGCGAACTTCGCCCAGAACGTGCAATCTGTGGTCGTCCTCAGTTTCGTGAATTTCACAAAGTTCGACATCGTCTCGGTCCTCCTGTGGACAGTCCGATGGCTTCTCATTCGGAATGTGTGTCAACGTGACGACAACAATAACAACGGAAACGTTCGTCGAGTAAGTGTGCGTGTCGGAAATTTCAAAGCACGACCACGGCCGGTCTGCTTATCAGAAATCCACGCAGACCACTCTACGATCGCTGATAATTATCGAACCGGCAGCAACAGACAGGCGAGATTCATCGAATCGCCCAAGAGACAGACACGGACCGTGCCATGAGTCTCCGGTCACCAAATGCGTTTGCGAAATTTTGCACACGCATGCGCTCGTATCAATGAATCGCTCTTTCAAAAATCAGCTGTACACGACGATCGTTTTACAGCATAAAAATTAAGATCGTCGTACTCGATTCCATTTCTTCAGCATCTTGAATTTTATGAGAATCGATGTCCATCATAGATCTTCGAGATACAATTTCCAGCGTTGGACTTTATCTTCCGTCAGGACTTGAAGAACGATAATTCATCTCGTATAAATAGTCTCGGCTTGGGAAGGAACGGATTCGGTCTAGTTTGCGTCCAGATAATTTCATCGTTGGTACAGCACTGTGGCTGACGTCACAAAGGCAGTATGGCCGGACAGCATCGGCTGTCTGCATTGTAACGTTGGATTAACGCTTTCCGGGGGTTCGACGGGACACGTTAAACTAAACTATGTCGGATTACTTCAAGTCCGCCCTGGGGTATCTAAACGGAGCCGTGAACACGAACGAGTACGTCGGGCAAATATTGGAAATCAACAATGTGAAATTACGCGTGACTAGGCTACTCGCCGAGGGTGAGTCTGTCAACCCTCCCTCTGTCTCGTCAGACGATTTCGTTTCCGAACAAATCAATCCCCATGATCGTTCCTCTGTCGTCTGATAAAAATTATCGTCCGATGCGCACTCGTTTTTGGTTACACTTGACACACAGTGGCTGACAATGTGCCAACACTATGTGTTCCTCTCTCCTTTTGACATGTGTCAAACTTGTTTTGACATTCGGCTCGCTCGTCACGCCAGCGAGCAGATTTTTCAATCCGTAACGCAGCCCCGTGGAATGTCGATCAGTTATATTAGAACATAATTATATACTACGATAAGCGTGTTATGTATCGTTCGTCTCTCTTACTAATGTCTGTTGTATTTAAAAAATAAATGATTTAGTTTAACAAACAGCTGACTAATTTCTTTCTTTATCAAATCGTTTGTTCATTCAGTATTATTAACATCTAAGAATAGACTAGTAAAAACTTGAGGATCTCGTCAAACGATTTTCCATCATGTACAAATTAACATTTCCCACGTTTCCCTTTTTCCTAATCGTGTTACACGGTTCAATCAATGTTTAAACAATTGTATCAACAGGTGGTTGGGCTCTGGTGTTCGCAGTGGAAGATATAAATACAGGGAAAGAATATGCACTCAAGGTAACTGATAGAATAAATTCTTAAACAGATTCTCTTAACAGAACTCACGATTAGTGCGACGTTCCAAAACGAATATAATTTTCAGAGACTCATAGCAGTAGACGAAGAAGCGAATCGAAGTATCGTACAAGAAATAGAGGTGCTGAAGAGATTATCGGGTCATCCGAACGTGATTCAGTATCTGTACGCCCAGCGCGTAGAACGCGAGGATCGTAAGGGATACGAATATTTGTTAGTAACGGAACTATGCCCAGGAGGGACAGTGGCAGACATACTTCGATGCCTATCGCCGAACTCTCTGACCCTCGCCCAGATCTGTAAGATAGCCTACCAGGCTACGAGAGCTGTGCACCACATGCACAACCAGCAGCCAGAGCCACTGGTACACAGAGACATAAAGTTAGAGAATTTCCTAATCGGGAGCGACGGTCTGATCAAGCTCTGCGACTTTGGTAGCGCTTCCAACCAGCAGATCTTGCCAAACCCGTCGTGGAACGCCCAGAAACGCGCGAACCTCGAGGACCAGATGGCCAAGTACACGACGCCCATGTACAGAGCGCCGGAAATGATGGACACGTGGAACAACGAGCCGATCGGTCCTCCGGTCGACTGCTGGGCGCTCGGCTGCATAATTTACACTCTGGTCACCCTCAGGCATCCGTTTCCCGAAGGTACGCAAGTGTACGACGAAGGTTCATCGACGATTCGACCAAACGGTCGTATTAATCTCTGTGTGAATTATCGCAGGCAACAAGCTCGCTATAGTGAACGGCAAGTACCCCCCGCTTCCAGCTAATCCACGTCTATCCTGCCTACACGATATAGTGAAAGGGTGCTTGGAGATTTCTCCGGTGCGAAGACTGACCACGTCGGCGATCTTGGAACGCCTCGCGGCGATAGCCGAGTCGAACGACTTTGATCTCAGAGAACCCCCGAAAGTGGAAGTACCAGCGAAAGCCCCACCGCCTCCCAGACCGGCACCACCGCCGCCGACCAACGCTCCGGCACCTCCTCCGAGGCCGACGCCACCTCCGGTGACCGCTCCTCCACCTAGACCCGTACCCGCTGCGCAAACGGCCGTAGCCAAAGTCCCGGTCGCTCAGACCACGGGACTGTTCAGTTCTCTAAAAGGAGGCGCCGGTAGCTTCCTGAGGAACATCAAGGACACCTCGAGCAAGATGATGCACTCGATGCAGCAGAGCATGGCCAGGACAGAATTAGACATCAGTTACTTAACGTCCCGCATATTAGTCATGCCTTATCCCGCGGATGGAATCGAGTCGGCGTACAGAGCGAACCACGTGGAGGACGTCAGGGCGTTTCTCCAGGCCCGGCACCCTCCGCCGGCTCGTATACAATTATATAACTTGTCCCGTGGACGACCGAACGTTACCAGGCTTCCCGGTAGACATATCGATTGTTCGTTCGCCTATGCTTGTTCGGATTCCAACGCCCCGCTGTTGTCCGCGTTGTATCAGATATGCCAGGACATCTATCGATACCTCAACGCCGATTTCAATCACATCGTAGTATTATATTGCACCGTGAGTACTTTTCAAAATGATTTAAACGTCGTGCGCTGAATGAAGTTCTATAGCCGATCGTATTTTCTTATCAGGACGGATTTAGAGCCAGTGCAACGGTCGCGTGCACTCTTCTGATCTACGCCAGGGCTTTCACTACCCCCGAGGAAGCTATGGCGATGTTCACCACGAGGCGACAGCCTCCCAAGCTACAACCCTCGGAATTTCGCAGTATTAATTACATGAGCTTACTCAGCACCGGCGTGCAGCCGCACACGAAGCCTCTGGCACTCCGCTCGTTAGTAATCGAACCCGTTCCCCTGTTCACCAGGGCGAAAGACGGCTGCAGACCTTACGTAGATATTTACAGCAACGGTGCTTTAGTTTTCTCCACCAAGCTGCCGGAGTACGAGGACATGAGACTGTTCGGGATGATGGTGGGCAAGCTCGCGATAGTGTTAGGCAACGCTACCGTCAGGGGCGATGTGACTTTAGTGATATATCATGCTAGACAGCAACTGGGTCGCGTGATAGGGATCAAGATCGCATCCGTACACTTCCACACGGGGTACATACCCCTCACAGACTCTGCTTTAACGTTTAAGAAAAAGGATCTTGACGACGCGCCCGAAGTCGGTAGTAACTGTACTGTCACGTTGAACATTATGGTAGCGAAGGAAATTCCGAAGATGGCCAGAGTTCCAGCTCCGTGGGAGGCCGAGGTCAACACGAAACTGGAACCAGACCCGCTGTTTGGATCCACTTTAGAAATGGAAGAGACTCTGGACAGTTTCAGAACAGCCAAACCTCAAGAGGTGAAATATACAGTTGAATTTGTGTTCAAATAATCATCGGTTTCTTTTTAATTATTAATGTTTCACAGGCTCTGAAGGAAGTGACTGCCCCGATAGAAGAACCTCCGGAGAACGTGGACGCGCAGCAAACGGAGACGCCTGAACAGTCTCAGGACGAGGAGGTGCAAGAACAAATCACCGAGGAGATTAAATTTCAAGAGGCAGACTTGCTGAACTTGGGAATGCCAGAAGCCAGTACTGTAGACGATACTACTCCGCAGGCTGCTAACCCGGGATTAGATATATTTTCTAGCTCTAGTCAGAAGGAAAGCGATCTCTTAGGCGGCTTCGGTGTCTTCGTACAGCAAGAGAAGAACACCGTGCCGACCATAAACGATCCTGCCCAAAACGATTTATTATTTGGACACGATCAGCCTACCGCTAAGAATGACAACCCTAACAATAATCTAAACGATTTCCTGTTTACTCAAGGCCAGTCGGCGAATAAACAGAATTTAGACGATTTGTTCGACCCGTTCGGTGGTACCGGGAACAATCTCTTGGGAGGAATGCAAGGCTCTAAATCGAACAACGTCAAGCCTCCCGAGGAGAGTTTCCCACGGAACTCGAGCGTACCGAACTTCGCAGCGAACACTCAGAACAAGGATCCGTTCGCGAACCTCACCAGCTCTCTGGGAGCTGGTCTGAACACCAGTTGGAACGGAACGCCCAAGAACTCTAATACTCCACAGTCGTCCAGCCCGGCCCCGGCCAGTACGCCGATTCACTCGAGTCCTCATACGCACAGAAACACCACCAACGAGGCGAACACCGCTGAACCAGGAACTACGAAAAAAGGCGACGCGTTCGAAGATCTCCTAGGAAGTCAAGGATACAATTTCTTCAGTTCGAGGAAAGCGGAGAAAGACAGTCCAAAGACAATAAATCAAATGAGGAAAGTCGAGGCTGCGAAGACCATGGATCCAGACAGGATGAAGATCGCTGAATGGACCGAGGGCAAGAAGGGTAATTTACGGGCATTGCTATGTTCCATGCATACTGTCCTATGGCCAGAAGCTGACCGGTGGCAGAGGGTCGAGATGCATCAGTTGGTCTCTGCTGCAGACGTGAAGAAGGCCTACAGGAAGGCTTGCCTCGCCGTGCATCCGGATAAGGTATTCGTTCTAAACAGGATACTAAATCAATTTTAATCGTGAACTCATGTAAGTCTTTACTAATACGAATCTGTGATTTTAATCGAAATTTTCGTTTGGTTCCTCAGCAAGCTGGAACGGCTAACGAGAATATAGCGAAACTGATCTTCATGGAACTGAACAACGCCTGGAGCACGTTCGAGAACGACGCGTCGCAACAAAATTTATTTAGTTAATTATTCCGATTTGACTGTTATACACTCGTTTACGTCTAAGGTAGTTCCTAGGAAAGAGAGAACCGAGAATATTATTAATTAACTAATTAACTATTATTAATATAAGATGACTCTCTCCGTGTTACATTCCAGCTAATGGTATCTTAGCTGTAGAAAAAAAAAAGAATTGTAGCAAAAGGCGAAAGCTGCATTTTGAATGGCTACCCGTGTACATGCAACAACTCTCTTTGTCGTATGAAAGAAAGCCTTGTAAGATTACTTAAAACCGTATTAAGTGTAACTGCGGCAAAACGTATATATGTATATAAGGCAAAAAAACTGTAAATTAAGGAGGATTCCAAATATATAAAGATATTTTCCGGCCAGACGGTTTTCTCTCACGCCCTCCCCCAATCGTTATTTTTATACAAATAAAGTTCAGCTCGTATTTCAAACAATGGTCTCTACTATTTTCTTTCCTTGTCCTTACAAGGGATCGACAAAAAAAAACTCAGACGGTGCGTCAATCTTCCTCCCCGAAATTCCGAGTTGTGAAAGAATCGATTATCGAAAGAGCTGACGTTTTTTCGAATACCCGAAATCTCGTGTGACGACTTATCGGACACCCCGTACGTGTGTATCACGTATCTGCGCCAAGGGGTGAAATTTAAAGGGAGGGGCTGCTCTCGAAAATGGCTGTTATACACGGGGTGGTAGGACGTCGAGAAGAGGGCAAGTAACACGGTTCATCCCTGTCTTCCACTTTGACCAATTGACATTATTTTCCGACAATTGATACAGTTACCTAATCGATAGCTATTATGTGGCGGCTGAGAAGCAGCCTCCGTGCTCATCTTCGCCCACCCCCGAGCCGACATATGATTCGGAACAGATACACCGTCTCGGATTCTTACGCGTCGTACGTCGGCGGGCCTCGCCTCTGAATTCCGGTCGCGGTTTCTTAACGAGTGAAAGAATCGCGGGTATCGTTCGCCAGTGAGACTCGTCAGTGCGTGCGAACGAGATTCGTTTAAAGGGGGGTATAATCCTCTGTGGGAACGTGGTCGTTTTTTATGTCAAGATGAGAACGATCGTGGCACCGATCACGCGAGAGTGCTGGAAACGAGTGCCTGCGTCTGGAATATCCAGCAACGTAAGCCCGAAACATTTAAGTATAAACAGCACCGTATCAATAACGATTCCGTTCTAATCGCGGTGATTACAGATTGGATGATGTAAGCAAGAAGAGCGAAGAATAACCCAAGTACAGGAAAGATGTTCGCTCGGAGAGTGCTGCTCCTCCTTCTCCTAGGAATATCCTTCTGTCTCTGCTCGGCGGATCTCGACAGATCCGTGAGGGCCGTCAAGGGGCGGTTTCGGACGTACGCCGCGTGGCGTGTGGTAATGTGTCTGGCGCAGCCACAAGCTTCGCTGAGGACGGACGTTCAGAAGGCATGGGAGAAGGCCAGGCTGGAATCCTCCCACGCGGACATGAACGTGTCCTTCATCGAGGCGCCACCCAAGACGGATTCGCTCGCCTACCCCCTGTCGTTGTTGAACAAATTTTGTAACGAGATCAAAGGCGGACGTACGATGCTGAGCCTGATAATCGGAGGAGGATCCGCGGCTAGGTTTCTGGTCACCGCTGCAACTGCGCTCAACGTTCCAACCCTTTGGTTGCCGTTCACTCACGAAGACTTTTTACGACAGGTTTCTCAGAATTAATTCGATACGAAATACCGAATCATCGCTAGTCGTATTTACTATATTTAATATTGTAGGGAAACTTAGGGCAATACGAGAGTCGCATCGGTTCCAGTACGAGAGAAGTCGGAGCAGCCGCAGCGGCCCTCATGCAGAGAGCAAACTGGCACGCGTTCACTCTACTCATCGACACTACTTTACTTCCCTTGACTCATCTCTTACACGCGAATCAAACGACCCTCACGCCTAGGACCATCATACACTTGCCGACCAACGACAAGACTCTTCGACTACGGATAAAAAGAGTCGCCGAGGAGGGTGGAAGCGGGGGAGTGATAGTGATGGGCTGCGATCTGAACAACGCTAGGAAAATATTAGCCGTGGCCGGGAAGTACGAGATGCTCGCGGGACGATTCCTTTGGCTGTGGCTGGACTTAAAAGCGGAGCTCAGACCGAACGAACCGAACATAATCAGTTCTCATATATTGCACGGGTCCAGGTCGTCCATAGCGACCAACGAAAATCCGTCGTCGCCCGTGGAGAGCATCAACAGGAATATAAATCTCATCGCCGAGAATCAATTGTCCGTGAGTTCCCTACCGAGCTTGGCCGACGACGTTCGTAGATTGCAGGAGTACAGGTGGCAAAACGAGATGTCCGTAAGTAGCAAGCAGGAAGAGAAGGGTTTCAATTTCGACGACGACGAGGACGACGAGATCAGGATAATGGACAAAGAATTGAATTCGAAAGATTTCATGCCGGTCGGGATGCTGGCACTGAGGCCGTCCGGCATCAAATTAATGGGCAGCGACACTATATTGTCTAGAATGATCAGGGAGACTTCGCAGGCGTTGGACGAGACGTTCATCGAGGTGAAACCGAGGATCAGTCGGTTGGGAGAGACTCAGATGGATATTTTCGTGCCGGAATGCTTTCCAAGGAACACGGCCAAGTTCTTGGTAAATAAAATGAGGCACAACGTTTCCAAGACTTTGACCCAAAAGCTCAGAAGTTCTATGAGTCAACTTTCGAGGGACAAGGCCAAGTTTCATTTGTTGAACTTGCAAGCTATACGATTCCCTGGCAACAAGACTCAACTCAGGTACGCTCGTCGATCGATTCAGAAATATTATAACAATTGTTTCAAATTGATTATTTCTACAGATGGACGAAAGTGGGCACCGTGAAAGGCGGGAAGGAAGTGCACCTGGACACGATAATTTGGCCAGGCGGCGGGATCATGCCTGCTTATCTCGAGCAAGGAGGCGAGAAGATCGGAATGCCTATGTATCGCATAGTAACTGCCCTTGCATCGCCGTTCACCATGATAACCAACATACAAGAAGGCATCTGTCTAAGAGGAGTCTTCTGTCGGCAAGGGACCACTCTGATGTGCTGTTACGGTCTGACCATGGACCTGATGTCGATAGTGTCCCGCGAATTGGGATTCCGATTCGATTTGTATTTAGTGAACGACGGCCTCTTCGGGAAACGAAATGGTACGTTATTCGATTCACTGCCTGTACCCATTTTCCAACGAATCACCGGTCGTAGGTACGAGTGGTACGTGGAACGGGATAATGGGAGAGCTGGTCTCGGGCCGAGCGCAGCTCGCCTTCGCGCCTCTCAGCGTCTCGGCGAACCGAGCAAAGGTCGTCGACTTCACCACGCCGTATTTCTTCAGCGGAGTCAGCTTCCTCACAGCGGTCAAAGTGAAATCCGAGATATCCCTCTTCCCGTTCTTATCACCGTTCAGTACAGAACTATGGATCGCGGTATTCACGTCGCTGAATTTTACCGCGATCGCGGTAGCTCTTTACGAATGGTTCAGCCCGTTCGGGTTGAACCCGTGGGGCAGACAACGAAGCAAAAACTTTTCAATCTCCTCCGCTCTATGGGTGATGTGGGGCCTCCTGTGCGGACACTTGGTAGCCTTCAAGGCGCCCAAGTCCTGGCCTAACAAGTTTCTCATCAACATTTGGGGAGGGTTCTCAGTGATCTTCGTCGCCTCGTACACGGCCAACATCGCTGCTCTCATCGCTGGCGATTTCTTCAACCCAGTCGTGAGCAACTATCACGACAAAAGCGTAAGTCCTTCAGAACACCGACCATATACGTTATCCTCCGTTATGATTAAAAATCTTCTTGCAGTTATTGCTGCAGAAAGTCGGCGCGCCAAGAGCCTCGGCTGCTGAATACTACGTACAAAGAGCTAGTCTTCATCTGTCGTCCCACATGGCCAGATATTCTCTGTCGAACGTCGACGAGGGTGTCGAGAGATTGAGAAACGGTAGCTTAGACATACTCATAGCAGATACGCCTATTTTGGATTACTACCGCGCCATCGACAACGGCTGCAGATTGCAAAAGATCGGAGACACCATAAACGAAGACACTTATGCCATCGCCCTGACCAAGGGCCACCCTCTCAAAGAAAGTATATCGAAAATTATCGCCAATTATTCCAGCACTGGGTTGTTAGACATCCTACAGGAGAAATGGTAAGTCATATTCAGATTATATATTACTTTGCGTTATTAATTAGGAAACAGTGAGTCTGAAGGAACGACGATTTTCAAGGTACGGCGGTCTTCCATGTATTCGAGGTAGGAACACGGGTTTGGAACACGAACAGCGGAGACAACCCAGACCTTTAGGCGTGGTGTCGGTAGCGGGTGTGTTCTGCCTGCTGGGACTGGGAGTCGTGCTCGGGGCGATCATCCTCGCAGGAGAACACTTGTTCTACAAATACACCCTACCGAAACTGAGACACAAGCCGGACGACTCGATCTGGCGAAGTCGCAACGTGATGTTCTTCTCGCAGAAACTGTACAGGTTCATCAACTGTGTAGAACTGGTGTCGCCGCATCACGCGGCCAAGGAACTGGTCCACACCGTGAGACAAGGGCAGATCGCGTCGCTGTTTCAAAAGAGCGTCAAGCGAGTAAGTGACTTTCGACTTCCCGCGATCTATCCTGTAATCCTGCATTTATCTACAAGGCAGCCATGTTCTAGAAGGAACACGAACAGCGCCGAAGGCGCAAGAGCAAGGCGCAGTTCTTCGAGATGATCCAGGAGATACGAAGGTAAATCAAGCGAGATTCTATTCAAGGCATGGTAATTTCAATTATGAATTCCATTGCGCAGAGCTCAGCAAGAAGAAAAAATAGACAGTATGCAACAGCCCGAGGAACGAGTGTCTACTTTTAAAAAGGAAGAGAAAACAGTGAAAGGGAGGGAACGAAGTAGGAGCAAGAGTCCGTTGATGCCTCCGAGTCCGAAGCGAGAAAAAAGCCGAAGCTCTACTAATCTATCCAGCTCGAGACTGGGCCTGTCTCCCATCAGTTTAGACGCACCGATGAAGCCCAGAGAGTTCACTCTGAGCAGCACGAACCTCCGTGCGAGGAGTCCGCTTGAAACAGTGGGTCGAAGATTGAGCCACGGCGACGGTGGATCACCGCCTCCGCGGCTGGGCTCGAACTTCGGAGGCAGTGCGACGCTGCGACCACTGGCTCCGACGAAGAGCGACTCCACGGGAACCGCGACGCCCACGGCAAAGGGAGAATCGAGCGGCGGAGGTGCACCCACGCCGAGATACGCGAGGAGCCCAGCGAAACGGGGACAATCGTTCCCAGTGTTCGCCACCCTGAGGCCTCCGCATTCATCCAGTCACCAGGTTTCGAAGAGCTCCTTGCTGTCACCGAACAACGAGCTGACCACCGCCATAGGTCGCAAACTGTCTCGCGAGTGGGGCTCTGGGACCATAGACATCACCCGGTCGACGGAAACCGTGGCCAGGGGATCGACTTACACCCTGAACCAGGAGATGACTCTGTCCCTGGAGCGACCACCGCACGAGAAGATTCAGGAAGACCCGTTGCCTATCAAGAAGCCTATCAGAAGAGCCAGGAGCCACGAGAACAGGGACACCGGCAAGCTGATGGCCGATCTACCGTCGCCGAGGCTTGCCGCGCAACAGCCTGTCGTCGGAGGCAGATCGGTAAGCGAGAGAACTAAGAAGCAATTGGAGTCAGAGTTGAAAGCGATTTTAAGTGCCAGAGCTCATCATCGGGACCTCCATCCCCCTTGATAGGCGACCGACGAGATTTAAAACAATTTCAACAAAGAGAGTTCTTGCAAAAGTGAGCAGAGTATTAAAGAGGATCGTTGCCTCTGAGGGGCTTTGATTGATTTAAGCAATATCAGATTTATAGGTCAATTTGTAGAGGAAAACATCCGTGAAATCGTAACGCAAAAAAAAATATATATATATATATAAAGAAAAAAATATATATATATACATACATATATGTATATATATAAAGTGTCTCTGGGTAACGAAAAGGGAAGAGATTCTTCTCACGAGGAAAAAGCGAAGTCTCTTTGTCTGTTCATGTTGTTAATATTGATAGAAGTACGTTGAAATGGCAAAAAAAAACTGCTAGGAAACTTTAGTAGAGATCGTCTTAACGAGTAGCGAAACTTAAACGAGTATAAAATATTTTCTTGTTGGCATATTTTAATCTCTACAGCGAGCGCGGGCTTCGGCGAGTCTCCGACATACGCGATCGTTGAACCATCCGTACACCGCCGTGTTTCTCGACCCTCGCGGTATCTCTACCCTCCTCCGGATTCGTCCCTGTCGCATTAACGAGCGAGGAAACGGTGGTACACGGTGTTTCGTTGAATCCCATACTGCCATATACCTTTTAATAATAGCGGGAGACTCGCCCGGACGGCTCACGGCGTAGAAACGACCAGTAAAAAAAAAAAAAGAACGCATAATCGGAAATCTTGGAAAATTGTCTCGGAGCCTGGTGAAACTTGAAATCGGACGGGTCACTTTTTTACCGATTTGCTGGCACTCCGTCAAGTCTAAATAACGACGAAGATAGTACGTACGTACGTACATACATACGAACATGCATACATACATGAATACATACAAGCATTAATCATGAAACTACTTGTAATCTCATTCACCTGTAGAGGAAAAACGATTGCTGTGCAGCCTATTATAGGTGAAGAGATATTAATTCAGGAATTGCACAACGCATAGAATCATCGGAATTGAACATGCACATAAAACTCTTATCGATGTTCTTTTCCTTTCAATCTTTTTTCCGATCAGATCTATCATCCCTTCGATTCGATCCTAACTATCAACACTTTAGAACGTTAGAATGAATGTGTGGGACTAAAAATTAATCGAAAAGAATAAAAAGAAAAAAAAAAGAAGAATAATTGATGAGCGAGGCCTTAGGAGTAGTCGATCCGCCCAAATTCTTTATCGATGATATAGCGTGTAATCGTATTACCGAGCAATTCGCTATACAATTATAAATTGTAAAGACATAGAGGATAGCGATTTAGTTTGATAATTCTCTTCGTTAGGCAAATTGTACGCGCACGAAATTTCCTGAAAGTCGAACGAAGTAGAGACCATCCGCCGATCTCTCTCTCTCTCTCTCTCTCTCTCTCTCCTCTCCCTGTATCTGGCTGATTAATTCATTTCGCTGCATGATAACTGATCTATCCCTGACTTATGAAAGTGTCTTTTGACTGTCGCTAACTAAACTATTTTCAACTGAATCAAGGCAGCTTGGAAAGATCAAGCGAATGAAAGAGCGACTGGCTTGCTCGAGGCAATTCAGGAAAAACTAAATCAAAATACAAATCGCATAGGGGGCCAGTTGAGCGTCGCCCGAGCCTAACTGAATCAAAGATAGACTTATTAAATGAATTAATAGCCGTAACATCGTTTGCCAAGTGGGTTCCGCCGGTAATTTGGTTCAGTAGTGATCGCACCGCTGGTTCTCATTTTATTCAGTAAACCAAACGAGAGAAATAATCGTTCTTCTGAAAGTCCTTGTACATACGTGTCTTCTACTCTAGATACCTGAAGAGACATTATTGCACTGAATTAAAGGTCGAGCCCCCTACTTCATTGTGCGCCAACAAGACCCTGTACGGTTCGAGCATTGCTTGGAAAGATCAGAGCAAAACTGACGGGGACAGAAATTCGGCATCGGCCTATTATCCAAAATACATGTATCTTCTGTTGTTCAATTGAATTAATGCGCGAACTTGCCAATTTTCTTTCTATTGCTCTCTTCTTTCCATTCAGAAAATTGTTATTCATCGGTGAAGCTGGCAAAACGTTTGAAAATTATAACTTTAAATCGATGATCAGAGATTTTCGTTGTTAGAGATTTAAACTAGAATCACAGAGGAGAAATTATTAAATAGTGGCAGTCTTATGATATAAGAATGGTCCTACGCAATCCTCGTTTAACTCGTTAGAGAATAATTGGCGGTGAACGAAATAATCGATTAATTCTGAAATATTCTACATAGAAAACAATTGTATGCGACTTTTTTGCAAGAAATAGCATTACCTACAACTTCTACTTGAAGCATTTTTCGAAATTCCGAGAAAAAAAAATTTTCGATTTTTCCGAGATTTTTCCAAGGGGTACCCCTTCAGATTTTGCGAAATTTTCGTTTTTTGCTAATAACTCCCAAACCGTTTGATTTACGGAAAAATTGCATCAGACCTTTCTTGTAGAGGACGACGAGATCTACAATTTCCGTATAAAAGTTTCTTGCTAGCGCCAATAGTTAACGAGTAATTTGCAAAAAACTGTTTTTTCGTTTTTCGTCAATAACTCGTAAACTATTGATGCTAGCGAAAAGTTTTTGTACGGAATTTGTAGATCTCGGCGTCCTCTACAAGAAAGGTCCTATGCAATTTTCCCGTATCTCTAAGGGTTTAGAAGTTATTGAGGAAAAACGAAATTTTTTTCCAAAAGTTCGCTGTTTCGACGGTGGATCGGTCGGATTTTGTCAGCACCCATAAAATGCCAATTAATGATACTTAACTCGTTAAATACTTAAGTTAGAAGAAAAATGCATAGAATCTTTCTTGTAGAGGACGTCAGTGCCTACAATTTCGTATAAAAATTTTTTCGCTATCGTCAATAATTAATTAATAAATAAAATTGCAAAAATTGTTTCTCCATCCAAGTGAGAAACATTTCAAACAAAATTTATAGCTCCATTTGCCAGATGCAATTTTCTTCTAACTTCACCGAAAAAAAAACGATTACACGGTGACTGCCACTGTTTAATACTCATCTCCTCGGTCCTAGAATCTAAAATATTCTTAACGCGTTAGCTTTAAAACATTGATTCCACACCCGATGGCAATAAGATTATTCTACACTACGGAACACTGCCATAATTTCAACTATTGATTTCGAGATCCTGCCAGATAATGTTATTCAATCTCGCGACAAGACGCGTGACGCATTCACTTCAGGACTCTCTCGAGGACGCTAAATGAATATCGGTCGTTCGGATATATTTCTAAAATAACGAAACGCAACACCAAAGTCAAAGTATGTAATCGACTCCGCGTATAGAAAAGTGTCTCGGTCTAAAGAGCAAAGTTCCTAACGCTCGTGAGAATTATTTTTTTCATAATCACTATCGAGGAACTTTGCGAAGACCCGATATACATTCGGAACTGCTCTTTTCAACTCATCGACGAACTAAATATTATACCAAGTATCTTTCGTTGGTAGATCGTAGTAACACGTATAATTATGTTGCATTTAAGTTGCACGGGATCGCGGATTCGAACGCAACTTGAATGAAACCAATTTACAATTGTAAGATCATAAAAAGAAAAAAAAAAGAAAAAAAGTCGTAGAGAATTACACGGAGTAGTCGTAACGAATCACGAAGAATTCTGTTATCGCGGTGACTTGTTGGCGTACGGTATTGGGTTAGGTTCCTTGTAACCTACCTCGTCTCTCTTGTTACGCCTACTATTATACTGTTATTGTTGAGAACTCCATATTAATAAGAAATAAATATATTGTCTCAAAATAAACGTTTGCTCGTTTCATTAAAACTGGCCGAAAAAAAAAAACTGATCTACTCGTACGATTTCCCACGAGTTGTCAACGATTGCTGCTGCTGCTGTTATCAATTACCGAAAACTCGAATGAACCAGATGACCGATAGTTAAACGAGCAAAGCCTGGAATCACCGGACGCGTTGGTTCAAAGGTGCGCTACGCGATTACAAAGGTAGAAATCGACGTGGACGTGCTCGATCATCAAAGCAAGCGAAATAATTGCAAGTCACTCGCGTCATCTACGATCACGAGTGCTGTTTCACGGTCGAACTTTCGCTTTGGCTGTGTTCGTACGCTCGGTTCGCCTAACCATACACAAACGAGGTGGCAACGTCTGTCTGTTACTCTCGCGATTACGGTAACATGTAAATATAGTCGTGTACCACGGTTCGTCTTGGCCGAAAATTTTCTCACACAGACGACGACCGTGCAGCGTTACAGACATGTGTGGAATGCAGATTTTTCATTCAGAAGCCGATCGGAAGTAACAGCGGAGAACGCGAGACGACGTCGTTATCAGTCTTTTCACTAACGCATCAAGACCAACGACTGAGATTCTTAATAACGAGTGTTCAGATGATACTCGCCGCTGGGAGTTGTCCATGCATCAGGATCCTGTGCTCCAGGAGCACGTGCGTTTAACACGAGAACCGTTTTGTTTGACGTGTGTCTCCAGTTTATCTTGGTCGTATCCNTTTTTATACAAGACTTCCTAGGAAAATTTTTATAAAACTATTCGAACTCCTGTACATTTGTAATATATATATATATATAGTTTAAATAATTTTAAGTGTATATGTATGTAGATGTGAAATATCCACAACTGATTCC